CCTAGTACGGACGCCTGAGGGATGCTACTTGCCACCAGTCTCCGTCTGGGCATTGAGCCATTGACCACTATCCTCTGGATGTGACCATCCAACCAATTTGTTAGCCAGTGAACAGTCCACCAATCAAATCCATCTCTCTCCAATTTAGAGAGAAGGATGTTAAGAAGGACCATGGCAAAGACCTTACAGAAGTCTGGGTAGGTGACATCTGTAGCTCTTCCCTTGTCCACTGATGCAGTCACTCAATCATAGAAGGCCACTAAGTTGGTCAGGCAGGACTTGCCCTTGGTGGAGCCATGCTGGCTGTCTCACATCACCTCTCTGTCCTCCATGTGCCTTAGCATAGCTTCTAGGAGGATCTGTTCCATGATCTTCCCAGGCACAGAGGTGAGGCTGACAGGTTGGTAGTTCCCATGGTCCTCCTTTCTACCCGTTTTAAAAATGGGTGTAATGTTTCCATTTTTCCAGTCACCATGGACTTCACCTGACTGCCATGACTTTTCAAATATCATGGAGAGCGACTTGGCAACTGCATCAGCCAGTTCCCTCAGGACTCTGGGATGCATATCATTGGGTCCCATAGCCTTATGTATGTTCAGGTTCCTCAGGTGGTCTCGAGCCTGATCTTCACTTACAGTGGGAGGAACTTTGCCCCCCTGATCCCTGTCATATAGTCCATTGATTCGGGAGGTGTGAGGAGCGAGGCTGCCAGTGAAGACAGGCAAAAAAGTTGTTAAGTACCTCAGCCTTCTCCTTGTCTGTTGTAACCAGCTTCCCAGTTTTGCTCATCAGAGGGGGTATGTTTGTTCACTCAATTTAAGAATAAAGTATCAATATTCCTTTTGGTCTGTTTGTCTGAAATGGTAGCTATAATAAATATATAACAGGAAATGGAACAGTTTTGATTTGGAATGTTGCCTACTTTTACTTTATTTGATAAATCCTTTTTGGAGACAGGGAATTGGGAAAACTTTGATTACACTAAGCACGCTGCCCTGAATGTTAAGTATTAAGTAAGTTATTTTTATTAGGAAAAAAAAGAAAGACATTGGTAATGTCTAGTTTTATTATACAGAGTTGTCTTTTAGAAGTACAGGGGAAAGTGTGTGATATATGTATCGTAGTATTTCTGAGTTCCAGTGATATTTGAAGACTCTCATTTGATCATGGCCTGTATATCTGGCTAAAATTACCATTGGATGTTTTGTAAAATTTTGAAACTGCACAGAAATATGATGACCAGGAGTCACACTTTCACTTAAATTACTCACAAAATGGTTTTTAATAAATAATATGAAAATTAGAAAAGCTTTTTGTCATTTTGATGGGCTTTGTTTACTTGTCGTTTCTAAGGAACTGTCTGAGAAGGTACTGGTCGTAATTTATTCTTTTTTTTTTCTTCTAGGCTCAACATGAGAAAATTATTTCACAGCAGCAGGCTATTATAATAGCAACTCAGTCTGCTCAGGCACTGCTTGAGAAACAAGGGCACTACCTTTCCTCTGAAGAAAAAGAAAAGATGCAAAGGAACATGAAAGAGCTGAAGGCTCAGTATGAGACTGCCTTAGCTGAATCGGAACGGAAAATGAAACTGACTCATTCTCTGAGAGAAGAACTTGAGAAATTTGATGCCGACTATAGTGAATTTGAAACCTGGCTGCAGCAGGCAGAACAAGAACTTGACAATTTGGAGGCAGGTTCTTCTGACTTCAGTGGTATTATGGTCAAACTGAAAAGGCAAAAGAGTTTTTCAGAAGATGTTATATCTCACAAAGGTGATTTACGGTATATTACAATTTCTGGACAAAGAGTTTTAGATGCTGCAAGGTCTTGTAGCAAAAGAGATGGCGTGAAGGTTGACAAAGATGGTATCGATATGTCGGCTACGTATGCTGCAGTGCAAAATAAACTGGATAGTGCTTCAAATCGTTTCAAATCTCTGTATACTAAGGTAAGTTTTATTTATACTGAATAGGAAAGCCTACTATACTTGATTTAGCAGTTTGCATAGAAAGGGATTAGCTGATGAAACAAATACTGTGGGAAGTTGTAAATTCTTTGTTTCTTAAAGTTAGATAGCAGAACAAGATGCTTTTCTAGACCTGCTTTAGTCAAGTGCCAGACTACTTAAGGTCTGAATGGGTGAAATTTTCTACCTTGTGTTATAAGGGGGAAATAAGACCAGATTTCTTCATTGTTCTTTCCAGCCATAAACAAACTCTCTGAGTTTATGACAGTACAGGATGTCTGAGTAACATTTTGGGGTGGAAAGAAATTGTAATACTTTTAGATGGATAACATTTCTTTATGTTCCTTGCGATATTTCCCACAACTGCTTGTTTACTTGGCTTCCTACTAAGAAAACAAGTATAGAAGGAGAGAGACTATGCCAAGGTTAACATTCAAAATTTCAATTTGATTTGTAACCTGAAATAGTTTGTCCCGATGTGACCTTTGTTGTCAGCACTAGGCATGCAAGAATGTAGTGATTTGAGGATAGCAATTTTCCACTACTCTGCCAAATAAACATTTTATCCTTAACAATCTGAGATTAGTCTCTAGCTAATGGGAAACTATCAGTGCAAAATCATCCATGTACTTTAGGGAAGATTATGCAGCTCTGTGCCAGGTTCACTTGTGGAACCTGTCTGGTAGAACTAGACAAACATCACCAACTGGTCTCACATGCCAACTTTCCAGCTGTTTTCAAAAACCCAACAAAGTGTTATTCAATCTTGATAATATTTTGGAATTGTAAACTTTTGAGACAATTATTAATTGAACCATTTAAGAGAGAGTTGCTGTCAGTATCCTTTGACTATGCCATTTCATATTTTCTGAGATCATAGATTCAGACTCCTTAGTAGAGCTCCAGTGTCCACTGATACAGTGTTGGTCTGCAGCAGTTGCCATCTTTGTCTAGGAATTTTCATCTCTTTAACGTTTTCTTGCTTAGAAATGTAAATTCTGTAAAGACATGGATTTGATCACTTGATTACAAAAACAGTGTACACCCTGTTCTCTCAAACAGTTTGTGAAGAAGGCTCTCCATTTACAGAAACTCGTTTTCATTTTCGCACTTAACTTATATGAACAGTGAAGCTAAAAGCTTGTATTAACATGTTAGATTTCCTCCAGTTGATTTATTGGATTAGTTTGACTGCGAAGGTAAAGATTTCATCACAGAATTTTCAGAGAGCTTATTTTTATGCGCATAAAAATCCTATGCCAGCAGCTTGATTTGTGGTCTCAGGTTTGTCAACTTGCCACATTCTATCTTTTCCATATATATATTTAGCACAGACATAATAGACATACTTTAAATATTTGACCATAAATATGCAGAGCAAAGCAGACTTTTCTTATTAAATCGAGTCTTGAAGGACAGACTTTTAAAAAGTGAGATCTTTCACAATTTGTGAGATCTTCCAAGTTGTAAATGGGTTTGTAGTAACCTTTTTTTGGAAAAAGTTTTGTAAAAGCGTCTTGATTTTAATAAATACTTGTTTTGCTTTTATTTTATACATATTTATATTCGCACACACATAGGATTTTATACGCTTATATATCGAAGGAATCTTAAAGTCAGTTCTTAGTTAACTGGTTATGTAAATGAGTGCATTCTATGTTTGCCCACCAGATGGAGACCAAGTACCGTGTGTAAATATTAAAATACAGCGTATGGAAGGTTCAGAATATAAATATTTAAAGTAACTGTTTATAAATGTTATGACTTGATACAATCAGATTTTCCTTGTGAAACCATCTCCAAAAAGTCTGAAAGAGTTCCACTGAGCTTTTTACATGATGATTCAGTGTATACATTTTGGGGCATGCTAACATATATCACTAATAGGATCATGGTCTGATGACATTCTTAAGTGACCAAAACAAAGCATACATGCAATACTGAGCCATATCACTTTGGATTCGCCGTGCAAATAAGGTATGTATGAAAGCAATACTCTGCTGTTTATTTTTTTAATGAACATACACATATCTTCTGATTTTTTGAAAATTTCTAGCTTCCACTGGTTACATTTTTGGTGTCAGAGTGAATCACAGAATCAGTTTGGTTGAAAGAGACCTCTGGGATCATTGGGTACAACCTTTGCCCTAACAGCACCATGTCAACTAGACCATGGCACTAAGTGCCACAACCAGTCTTTTCTTAGACACCTCCAGGGATGGTGACTCCACCACCTCCCTGGGCAGCCCATTCCAATGCCTAATAACCCCTTCTGTGAAGAAATGCCTCCTCATTTCTAGCCTGAACTTCTCCTGGTGTGGTTTCAGACTATATATGAGTGCTGTTAAAGAATCTTTATGTTGTTGGATCAAAAAGTATTCCTAAAGGTTTTGCTGTTCTAATACAGTGGGTTAGATTCCAGTTTCCCACCAGTGAATTGATCCTAAATCGTGCTTGAGGAACACAAACCGGGAAGACCTGCATAGCCTGTCCAACTGTCGTGCCTTAGTTCAGAAATCAGTTAGACAGTGGAATGATGACAAGAAAAAATGATGCAGTATTTCAGGAAGGAAAGTATGACCTTGACATTGGTATGAAATGCAGCACACAGTTTAATGCCTGGGTATTCACTTGTTTGTTTTCTACTCTTCTAGTGTAGCATCCTTGGAAATAACCTTAAAGACCTGGTGGATAAATACCAGCATTATGAAGATGCCTCATCTGGACTTTTGTCAGGTCTCCAGGCCTCTGAAAGAGCTGTGAACAAACAACTATCTGAGCCAATTGCAGTGGATCCCCAAAATCTCCAAAGACAACTAGAAGAAACCAAGGTGAAAAGCTTTAAAAAGCAGAAGTACTTTTGTCCTAAAGGACCTGCTTTTTGTCTGAAAAACAGGATAATCTAATATAATCCAAGTGGCTGCAGGCCAAATTCTTGCCTTGCACATGGTCATGCAACTTTTATAGTTCTGAAATTCAGCTGTCCAGAGTGTTACCTGAAAAGCACTAGGGTGAAAAAAAATGAGGGACCAAGATACTGTTAGCAGTGGTGAAAGCAAGATGTGTTTTATGTCACTTAGCAAATGCTAGGGTGAAATCTGGAAAGTTTTTGAACTAAGAAAATATTTAGCGATTATAGTTTGCTGTCAGAGTAGGGCTTGGGACAGAGTTCCTGATAGAGAAGACCATTTGATGTTTGTTGTCTGTGAGTCTTGTTTTTTTCTGTTTGTATTGGTGTGTTACTGCGTTATGAAAGGGATCACACTGGATAAGCAGTGCAATGTGACTAGTCTGTTTGCCTGCTTCAGTTCTGTCCAGTACTATATGCCCCGTTGGGAGTGAATATAACATAATTTTCACTGCACAGAAAAACAGTATTTTGTTTTTCTTTCTTTTTTTTTTTTTTTCCCTCTCCACTGCAAGAGTGACTTACAACTTGATGTAAATCCTAGTAGAGGCAAGACAGGTTGATGATGGAGCTTGTGAAGGTGAAACTCTGGTTAGTTGCATAAGATGTAGATTTACAGAAGGCTTTAGGAACTGAAGTATAAGATGAGTTATATAAAGTTTGATACAGTCTATTGTCTTTGAACTGACTCTTATATTTTCATAAACACATTCAATCATAGATAGTATAATTAAAATGCAAGATTATTTATTTTTCAGTGAGCAAGGCTATTGGTCGGGCATTTCCTCACTGTTCTGTCTGTGCTATGTGCAGGTCTGATATGTTTACTATTGACAAATGATAGCCAGTGGCTCTTGGAAAGTACATGCTTTAACCATTTCCCTTACATCAGCCTGAGCAGTAGTTACCTTTACCACATGGAATCTTTCAAATCTGCCACTAGAATTGCCCAACACTTTGGTGCCTGACACACCAGAGGAGACAAATCACAGCGATGTTTTAAGACAACAAAGTTAAAAGTGCAAATTTTGAACTCCTAACAGTGGAACAGTTTAGGTACACTTGTGCTTCCAAGCGCTAGAAAAGTGGGAATAACACCAATTACAATTTGAAGCTTCATTTAAACTTTTTGTTCCTTATGCCAAAACAAATTATATCCTGTATAATGCCAATTTTCATGCAAGTAATACAAAAGGAGTGAGTCTTGGGTTTCTTTTATGAAACGCCTACATGTATTACTTGCCACACAAAGGAGACTCAATGAGTATGAGCTGGGAAGAAAGGAGAGGGTACAATGTGTCAAAAGATTCAAAGGAAGGGAAAAAACAGGAGGCTGAAGAAAGCAAGGCAATTAATGAAAGCAAAACAAAGAGTATTTTTTAAGAAGTCAGGTGTTGCAAGTTAAAGCTGTCCCTTGTAGCCAACACATGCAGCTGATAATCCAGCTAGACACAGACCCTGGCAGCATGATGAGGTCTAATCTTTTTATAGGGATTAACTGTTCTTCAGAATATTCTTCAGTGCCTGTGGCACAAGCTTGCTTGCTTTCTGTCAGCATGCAAGGTTTTCTGGTACGTCATCCTTTTTTTTTTTTTTTCTCCACAAGTGCAGTATGTTTCTCTAGTGTAAGGAAACTTCCTCTTCAGGTCTATCTGAGTTTTATTGAGTTAAGTAGGTCAGCAAGACATACTATGTTCTGGCATACTGTTGTGCTCTGGATACCAGTGCAGAATGCACTAACATGACTTCTTTGTCCTGGCAGGGCAGATAGCATTATCTTTTGAGTCATATGTTCATTGAGTTAGTGTGTATAAAAAATAAATGAGAAGTCTCTTCATTTTGGACTTGTATAAAGGTCAGGTGAATCAAAACAAAGATACATTTATAGACTAGCACAGGGGCCTAAAGTAATTTAAAGACTATTCACCCTAAAGTAGTTTTACACGCTGGAGAGAGAAAGCCACTTTCAGAAGTTGATTCAGCCTTTCTATTTATCTTGACTCTGGAGCAAATCATGGCTGGGCTAGTCTCTAAACCTGTGTTCCTTGCTTCGCTGGACAAACCTAGGCAAAATTCAGTGACACTGGCTCCAGGAGGTTCCTGAACTGTAAAGGCAATCATCTTTTCTCAAGCTATTCCTGTTTACGCTATGATACCAGTGTGATCCTTTGTCAATACAACTGATGGTGAATGTGTAACTACTGCTGCTGACCTTATGTTTTTCCACCAAATTGTTCTCCGATGCTGAGTTGAAAAATATGTTTATTTTTCTTTTGGATAGTATATGCATCTGTACAAATGGTCTTTAAAAACAATTAATCAAAAGACACATTTTGAAGTTACATGCAAGAAATCAGTTGAGTCAGAGTAGTATTGTAAAACAGAAGATTAAAACAAAGGCCAGGAGGTCAACAGCAGTCATAGCCACTGGTGAAGATTTTTCTTAAGGAGAGGTCACAAATTGAGTTAGTTTATTCGCAGCAGTAAGTTTAGGTTGTATGGTTTATCTCAAGCCTTGCATGTGTAACTGTTAGCTGTACTGAAAAGTACGACTGATAATGGTGGAATTTTACAGGTTCTTCAGGGACAAGTGTCTAACCACCAAATTGCTGTAGAAAAACTGAAAAAAGCTGCTGAAGTGTTATTTGATACAAGAGGAGAGTTGACACCAGACAAAGATGAGATTCAGAAAACACTGGGTAAAATGTTTTCTTAATACCTCTTTTTATCAGTTGTGTCTGCATGCAAGTACAGGAAAAGACAAAATGCAGTTTCCACATTCTTGTGTCACTGTTCAAGTCCATGTTTTGTTGAGTCATAAGCTATTACAACACAGTAACTTCATTGTTGGTCTGTCTCCTACCTTGATCCATATGCATTTCACTTAAAAGCTGCCATTTTATTTTTTACTTTTTTTTTCTTTCAGAAATAGGGATTATGTTTAATTCCCATGTTACAGATGGGCATGCCAAACAGAGGTAGTGATTTGCTGAGGATCATAAATTTTCCAGTGGGAAGGAGCATGTTGAGGTTCAAGGAATATGACTCCAACTAGCTCTCTCCTGACAATTATTTGAAGTTTGCATAGCCACGGAATTATTTCCTTCTGACTTCAAGAAACTGTCTGTGATGAGGTTGACCTTGGCTGGCTGCCAGGTACCCACCCAGCTGCTCTCTTACTCCCCTTGCCCAGCAGGATGGGGATAGAAAATAAGATGGAAAAGCCTATGGGTTAAGATAAAGACAGGGAGATCACTTACCAATTACTGTCATGGGCAAAACAGACTTGACTTGGGGAAAATTAAATTTAATTTGTTGCCAAATAAAACAGATTTCAATAGCAAGAAACAAAGACGAATTGAAGCAACACCTTCCTCCCACACAGATCTTTTTTTCCAGGCTCATGATCATTCCTTCCTTCCCAACTACTCACACCTCCTCCCTGCCAAACAGTGCAGGGTGGATGGCAAATGGGTGGTTGTGGTCAGTCCATAACAACTCCTCTCTGCCGCTGCTTCCTCCTCACACCTTTCCCCTACTCCAGCGTGGGTCCTCTCCATGGGATGAAATCTTTCAGGATAATCATGTTCCAGTGTAGTCTCTCTATTGGCTGCGGTTCCTTCAGAAATATCCGCCTCCTCCAGCATGGGGTCATTGATGTGCTGCAGTATGGTTATCTGCCTCAGGGGAATCTCTGCCCCAGCACCTGGAGCATCTCTTCCCCCTCTTTCTTGTCTGACCTCAGTGTCTGCAGGGCTGTTTTTCACACTTTCTGTTCCCTTACTTCTTCATCCCAGGCAGCATTTTCCCCGTTCTACATTTTCCCAGAGGCACCACCAGCTTGGCTGAGGAGATCAGCTGTGCCCTGTGGTGGGTCAGCTGGAGCTTGCTGGAACCAGCTGTGTCTTCCATGGGGCAACTCTTGGCCTCTTCTCACAGAAGCCAAAAACCTTACCACCTACACCTAGGACTCTTTCCTGTCATTTGTGAGAAGTAGCACAGCATGACATTCACCACTCTCTGAAGTTTGAAGACTGTGTGTATCACACAACTATCTCTTACAGGAATCCCATAAGTAACTTGCAGAGCAGCAAAATAAAACAATTGTGGGCTTGCCTCTTCGGAGTCAGTGATAAAATTCCATGGGAGGTACATGGAACTTTTAGCTTTCAGAGGCTTATCCTGAAAGTATTGAAGATGTAACAAAGAACTGTCTGGAAGAATCTTTCAGCTCTAACAATAACAGAAGAGACATAATTGTAGAAGAGCTGTCTTAATACTCTGCTATTTCGTTTCTTGGGAACAGTCAACAGCTGTCCTAAGCTAGAGCTGCATGGGAACCAGATTCTAAAAGCTGGGGAGTACAGCTGTAAGCTGCTCCCTCGTTTCCCTTGTGCTGTGAGCATCTTTGCTCTATTTGAAGATCTTGATCTTTGCTTCTGTGTTTTTACTGAATAAAGCTGATGTTTTTGCTTCGTTTTGATGCAGGCAATTTTTGACTCATGCTTACTAAAATGAGTTAAAAGCTTAGTTTGGCTGAAGGAAAAAATTGAAATATATTTTCTCTTTATCAGATGATATCGTGGAGAGGTATGACAATTTATCCAAGGCTGTGAATGAAAGGAATGAGAAGCTCCAAATAACTCTGACACGATCACTAAGTGTGCAGGATGGTTTGGATGAAATGCTGGATTGGATGGAAGGAGTTGAAAAGAGCCTTGAAGAACAAGATCAAGTGCCTTTGAATTCTGCTGCTATTCAGGATATTATTAGCAAAAGCATTGTAAGTAGCACTCTCTGAAAAAAGAAAACATTTCTTTGATAATTCAGATATCAAGACAGAATTAAAACCTTAGTTTGGCACCTTTAATGGATTCAAAACACTTAATAAAGAGGACTGTTTGTGAAGTGAAACTGCACATAAGGATTTTTGTAGCTGAAATAGATAGATCTACACTGATGGTCTAGCTGTACTGATTTGTTGCTTCATATGGTGGACCAGTTTCACTTCTTAAGATTTAGTTATAAGCAATACAAAGTAGTTCTTGCATGTTTCAGATGCTTGAACAAGACATTGCGAGTCGCCAAAGCAGTATAAACACTATGAATGAAAAAGTGAAGAAGTTCACGGAAACAGCCGATCCATCCACAGCATCCACGCTGCAATCTAAAATGAGTGAACTTGCAGGACGGTTTTCTGAAGCAAGTAACAAGCATAAAGAGAAGCTTATGAAAATGGAGGAGTTAAAAACTAAAGTGGAGTTATTTGAAGGTCTATCAGAAAAACTTCAGTCATTTCTAGATGAGAAAAACCAGGCACTCAGTGAGACAGAGGCACCAAGAAAGGATGTTAGTGAAGTGTCTCAGTATATGCAGGTACCGTAGCATTCCATTTGTATATATCGTGCATTTCTAGTCTAACTCATTTAAGTGATTGAACAGTAAATAAGGCGTGCTTGTTTCTCAACTTTGGTTGGTTAGCTAAAATAAAGAATTTAATTTTGAACAAGTGGTTGTAAAGTCTAACATGAAGAATGTAATCCTATTTTGCAGGAAGCTAGTGTAGAATTGGCACAACATAAGAAGGATCTGGAAGTTTTGCAGCAGCTTCTTGAAGAACTTTCATTCCATGCTCTTCCTGGAGATAAAGCATTGGTGTTAGAAAAAGTAAATGCTTTGTCAAAGAAATTCAGAGAGGTTGAGGAGACTGTAAAGGAAAAGTAAGTCAAATAATTAAGGTGTTTCCACTTTGGCTAATAATACAGTGTGAATGTTGTGATGACTGCTATCCTCTTGCATGCAATCTCAAGGGATTGAGGTTAACCACAGAGTAAGAGAGGGTTTTTTATTTAAAAAAAGAGATTTTATTTGGAAATGCCTCTGTAATTAGTCTGTCTGGTTCAGGAGCTATAATGCAGGCTGTAAAGACAAGTAACTTTTCAAATTTTGTGATATTCACAGGAGTCGTGTCAGTTCTAAGAAAACCCTACTTCTCCACTTCTCTGATAGAATATAAATTGCTGCTTGTGCAAATTGCTTTAGAGTACCATTTGGAATTAGGCTGCAAAGGAAAACTGGGGAAATTATTAGAGCTTCCATATAAGTTACCTGTATGGCAAAACTACATTTTCCACATTCTGCTCATATCCATACAATCTGCTTTTGTCACTCTGAATTTAGGAATAGCAATATCAGATTGATAGTATCTGTTGGTTTAATTATCAGAAGGAATACTGTCATTCCTTTAATTGTCTTTAATTTTCTAGAGAAGAGGATGTATCATCTTGTCAGAAGCAAATGGATACTTTTGAGCTCCTTGTAGAATCATTAAAGAAATGGGTAAAAGAGACAACAGAACGAATTCCAGCAGTGCAACCCTCTCTGAATACAGAGGAGTTAAAGAAACCTTTGGAAGATACATTGGTAAGACATTGTAGAGGAGAAGTGAAATATGGCTGAAGGAAATAGGGCATCTATTAGTAACATGAAAGTACAGACTTGAGCTGTAAGCAGTCACAGTAATTGGGACTACAGAGCTTGCAGTCTGCATTTATGTTACTGTTTCCTTTGCATGTTTGAATATACTGCAGGGGATTCCCAAGTAGCAGCGTTGTTCCTTTCGCTACACTAAGTCTTTTAAATCTGAAATCAGTTTTGTAATGCACAAATAACTATCTTTCTTAACCAGAATCTAAAAGATGAATGGACATTAAAAGCACCTGAACTGCAGAAAATGAATAGCAGAGGAACATTGCTGTGTAATCTAATTACGGCTGTGACTTCTCCTGCCAAACTGAGAGCAGCTGCAAAATCAGGTATGCATTTGTATAATCAGATAAGCCTAACATTTCAGGAGTTTCTAAAGCCTTTAAGACAAAAATTAAAATATTTCACCCTTGGATTAACTTTCTGAATATTATGGCTTGTGAGAAATCAGTTAGCCATGTCTGTTCTGACCATTGTTTGCTGTGACTCTCATTTGAACTAACTACTGTAGTAATTCAGTACACATTCTGGTTGCTTTACACTGCCAAAATAGCGTAAAAGTGCTTTGATGTAAATGATTAATAGGTCCTAAAGCTGTTACTTCAGTATGTAATTCCCAGATAATGAACAAAATGAACAGTATCACAGTTGCCTTCACCTCACCCCAGAAAGCTTCTGATAATGAGAAACTGACTTTCTCTGATCGGGGTTCAGTGCTTCACATATCCACCAGGTTTGCAAGTAGGACAAATACAAACTCTGCTTTTGCAAGCACTGATATACCTGCACACCTTTGCTCCCGCAGAGATTCCTCTTTAATGGCCACAAGGTTATTCTGTGTGATACCAAGCAAACACATGAAGGTTTGCAGAGTCATGAAGTTTTTGTTAGAAGGGTGATGAGGACATGGTTTATCTAAAAAGTGAGCCTAGGTGAACCTATTCATCCCAATATGATAGCATAATTAATACTAGTCAATATTTTAGTTGAAACAACAGCACAGAAGGGAATCAACTCCATATCCCAACATGACTTTCCTGGGCCAAAATGTCTTTCTGGTCTGGAGCTTCAGTTAAATCCTTTTTACCAGTAATCTGATTTTAAAGACAGCAAATCTGATTTCCATGATTTTCTGTACTCTGCTGTTTAAATATTAATTTGTTTTACAGAAACCCGTAATTCTGCTAAGTATCATTCAAGCCACAGTTCAAGGCATGTGGTACCTAGGGTGTTTTAATGGCCATAAGCACATTTTCAGTCAGTTCTTGAACTGACTAGATCTGGAAATAAATTCAAATGTGTTGGCCTTCATTGGTCATCTGCAAAGGACTGGGAGGATGGGAACTGCCAGAGGGTACCTATTTGGCAAGAGTAGAACACTTTCTTTCTCACATCTTTTTGTAGTAGCTGCCTCTGGTTTCATTCTTGTTTGAATTTTAAATAAAAATCTTTCAGAGAACATTTTGGAACCTTATATGGGATATTTGGGCTCCTTGCTCTGCCCCTATCTCTATTCCTAAGCATCCAGATAGAAAAATAATAAAATAACTAGCATATTAAGAGCAGCTGTAATCCTCCAGACTAGAGTATTCACCCTCCTAGACAAGAGCTGTACTGTGTAGCACTTAATCACAGTTATAAATACTAGAGTCCAGCTAATAGAGCATGAAGATTTACAAGACTCTGGCTGGGGCCTGTGACTTCTCTTATCTGGTTTGTTTTCTCTTACCATCCTCCAGCTGCCACTAATGTGGTCCTTACGGACCACCTGGTACTGTGGGGTAGTGCCTAGCCTTTTCCACGACAACCATTAATCTTACTCTGTTAATTGCTCACCTGGGAACACGTATGCGCAGGACAGCAAGAGATGATTCTCCTTGCAGTTCTCTGTGGCTTGACCACATGCCCCAGCTCTGTGATCTGATAGCATTTTACAAAGCCCATGTAGCCCTGGTTCTAGAGGCTTTGAAATTATGTTTAATTAGTAGGGCTGCCTGGGTAAGTGGCTGCCTCTGAGTGACAGTAAGGACTTCAAGTGTAACACTAAGTACTCCACATTGCAATCCCTGTCATGGAGCACGTGCTCAAGTCTTGCTCATGACAAGATAGGGAGGGATTTGTCTGGTTGGTATCAAGAGCTTTTTGTGCAGAGGTACGGTGCTGCTAAATCATACAATCATTTAGTTTGGAAAAGACCCTTAAGATCATCAAGTCCAAATGTTAACCTAGCACTGCCAAGCCCACCACTAAACCATGTCCCTAAAGGCCACATCTACGTGTCTTTTAAATACCTTCAGGGATGGTGAGTCCACCACTTCCCTGATGGGTAAAGGTGCTCTGAATAAGCAGTGCCTTTGGTTGTGGTGTCTGCAATGACCACTCTGGGCTTCTTTGTTTAATGTTTAGTGTCCTCCTCAGAGTCTCAGCATTGGCCAGCTAGCCCTCTCCCAGGCCATACCCAGACATGGCTGGGTAAAACTATGTTCTCAGTAGGCAGTAGGGAACAGGGTCGTTTTGGGGAAAAGAAGGAAGTGGTGTTAGCCATATAGATGTGAGTAGGCCTCACAGCTAGGTCATAGACCTTTGTCCGCTATGGTCATTTATTTAGCATAGTATTGTGAGCAGTAGGACTGCTTATGCATCATGCATATGTGCAGTCCCACCCACTATGCATATGCTGTGCATATGTGGTACCGCTTATGGTACTAGCTGGCTGGAGCAGCTTAAAACATAAAACTTTAAAAATTTTAAAGTTTAAATAAAATACTTGCTATTACAAGGTTAGCATTCAGGTATTTCTTTAATGTTATAATGAGAGCTGTGTATCATGCTGTTTTGAAGAGGAACTGCAGTGCTGGGTTTTTGATGGGAAAAGGCCCAGATAAGCATGAGACTGTCTCTCTTGATACACAGGTGGCACAGTGTTAAATGGTGAAGGAGCTCCAGGAACTCAGGATTTCCTGAAAAATAAAGGTCAGTAAAAATTTCAGGATGTGATAGAGAAATGTACTTGCCAATTACTGTTAAATATGTAGGTATTTTTTAAATGTTGTACATAAATCTGCTTGTAGCAGTCACTACTAGACTGAGATTTCACATCACCATCATGTAAGGCAACTATGTTGACTGGGGCATGATACTAAAATTAATTGTAAAAATACCTACCTTCAGTAGTATTTTCAGTATTTCAGTAATTTCAGTATTTTCTTTGAAGACTGATCAAATCTGGCTGTGTTTTCTGAATCAATATGTACTTCTGTAAATGTATACGGGGATAGCTGTTTTAATACAACGCATGGCTTATGAGAAAATTCTAATACATGTGTATGTGGTTTGAAACTTTTTAACACCCATCAGCATTCACAACGTGCACATACACAAACATACAAAGACACCCTTTTTACATACATTTGTATCACTGTATGTGACCAACCTCTTTACAGAAACAAAGGAACTTAATATAGGTGCTTTATATGTGCTTATGGGTAGCCACATACCATGTCCTGAGTCTGCAGTGTCCGTTCTCCTAAACTATAGTCTACGTCATACATAGCCTGCCTGCTCTGCTCTCTCAGTAATAAAACACATTTATAACAGTACATGAATGTGAGCAAAATATTATTGCAGTCATGTTAGGTTGTCATGTAACTAACTGAACTGTATGTTCAATTTTTTTATTATGGAATTGTTGCTTAAAATACTAAAATTAACAGTGAGTGGAAAGATTGAAAGGTATTTGCATACCTGTGTGTATTAAAGTAATGATTTCTGTGAAATGAGAAGCTCTTGCAAATAGGAACTTACATTAGGTCATTCAGATGTAGTGTTACCACATTTAGAGTGAACTAGAAACAACTCTTACATGATCAGTGACTTCTTATTTGGGGGACTATTAGCTATTGTAACTCAGAGTACATTTTAGAAGTTCTTGAAGTATAAGTATTGTTTGAAGGGCTTGTAACCTCTAACGTAGTTGTTGTGCATCCATCTCTCCTTTTACAGAACTGACAACTGTACAACAAGCCATGTCTGATGTCAATCACAGTTACGAAGATTTGGGAGTTTTATTGAATGAAAAGATTTCAGAACTAGAAAGTATGCTTTCAAAAATGCAGAATATTCAGGAAGAATCAACCTCAATGATGCAGTGGTTACAAAACATGGACAAAACTGCATCAAATTGGGAAGCTGCTCCAACTGATAGTGAAGCGGTTAAAGCCCAAGTTGAGCAACACAAGGTACTCTGTGCCTGCAAAAAAAATACCTTTTCTTGCAGTTATTGGGCAAATTCTATTTGAACAGCTGGCATCTCAGCCTAGGTTAATGTTGCAGGGAGTATTTACATGATCTTAGTAAGCTTGCCAGTCAGGCTTATAGCAAATCTGGCAAACTGTGTCAGTGGAGTAAAAGGAGTGCTATAGCAGAAAGAAGGCGTTGTGCAGGTCAGAAAAGAGTGATTTTTGTGGCCAGTTCAAATAGGTGAGGCTATATTGATCATGCAACAAACTTTTTTGATCTCCTTAGTGGTTTAGAGATATATACTGGCTGACTTGTAAGATCTGAAGGGCCGTATCTATCCAAAAGCTGTTTCTGCATCTGCTGGTTCACTGACACTCCACAGACATCCCGGTCTCTGCAGCTGCAGCAGCTTATGTCTGTTCCAAGGCAGTGTTTCTCTTCAGCAGCCATGTCACGCTTGTTAAGTTATATAGCTGCACAACAGTCTCCTCCTCCCTTTTTAATTGATAGGAGAAAACCACTGAATCAGCAGTAAGCTTCTGTCCTGTTTCGGCATTGGAGACGTATGCTTCTCTAGCAGTGAAGGATAATATTTACACATGTAAAGGTCCATCTATAAAGGGAAATGTAATGGATAGGGAAAATTCTTTCCTTGCCTGTGATTGGGGTTAAACAAGGAGAGAATTTGATTCAGCTGAGGTTCTTCTTTTAGATTTGGGGGGGGTCACCCTTAAAAATTAACCTGAACAGCTACTAGCTTTCCTCAGACATGGATAACATTCAGTCCTAAACCCCAGACTAAATGTAGAAGAAAACTAGCTCTTATTTTTTAACAGAGAATGTGCAAAGCTAACATGATCATCTGACCCCCCAGTGTAGTAACAGAAGAGTATTCGCAGATCATTGGAAAACTGAGGAAGTGCTCAGGCAAGAGTCATCCTTCTGATGCAGTCAGACCTTTTAGTAAAAGTTCTAAATCAAGCACAGTTTATTCAGTGTTTATTTTAGTGGATTTTGGATAATTAAAATGCAGCTGCACGGGGCAAGCTTTGTTACTTAAGAATATTCATATAAGAACCCTTTGCCAAACATATAAGCACTGTTCACTTCTGTCTGTAAGAACAGCGTGAATTTGGAATTGCTGGGGCATCTCAGTCTGCTGCTAGGTCTACACTTTAAGCTATCGTGCTTTTTAAACTATAGCTCTAGATGATCTACAAAAAGCAGTCTGTGATAGCAGGACTTCCCTTGAGGTAGATGAGGCCACACCACAGTCCTCTCTGTTAGTGCTCGCTGGATTATTTCTGCTGTGAACTGTACTGTGTGTTAGTCATCTTGCCTTCTGTACAAGAACAGATTCCAAGTATATGTGAATATGATGGGACCTAGTGGATCTTATTTATCTGAATTCTTCTACTTCTGTCAGTTGTTCAAATTAAACAATAATTGTTATTATTAATATAGTTTAAATCTGTCAGGTTGTCTCTTCCAAAAAAAATTGACCAGCAACATATGCCACTATAAAGTGTTTAGAGATTCATAGCAGAAAAGTAGTATGTAAGTTGTTAGATATTTATTGTTTATCTTCATGCTTGGCATCTCAGTATTATGAACTTCAAGCTTTACAATTTACTGTTCTTCTTTAGTCTCTTATTTACTTATTTTATCACTTGAATTTGCAGCTTTTTGAAACTGAATTAAAGCAGAGTGCGAATAAAGTGCAGGAACTAAAGGACAAAGTGACAGAGCTGTTGGAGAAGAACCCCGACTCTCCTGAGGCACCCAAGTGGAGACAAATGTTAGATAAAATAGGTACTTCAGTAAAGCTGTATTATAGCTCAGACTGATTTGGAAGTTGTTTTATTATGAGTTTTTTAATGTATTAGCAATCACTAGTATTTTTAATATCTTGTTCCCTCCTACCCCTTAAATTCTGTGGAAAAACCTCCCTTTACAAGAGTGTAGATCTGGAGTAATTCCACTGTTGTCCATGGGCAATTTATATCAGTGCAATTGAGAGAGGCCATAGACTGACTCCCTGATTGACAGGGCTTTTTCTTTTTCAAACAGTGTGCAGCTAAAACTTGACTGGTCAGTTACTGCTCCAGATACATATGTTGTTGTTCTTAGAAAATATAACAAATTAAGTTAATTCTAATTTCATGTAAAGAACAGTTTGAGTTGTTGGTAATGCTCTTCTGCATTCTTTTTTCGCATGCACTAGTGGCTTTTGTAATTTTGTGGGTTTAGTGGCTTTTTGCCATTTTCTAAAAATGACTCCATAAATTTTGCCAAAAAAAGTTGGAAGTGACTATGTTTAGACAATGGATTTTGAGATACTGCCGTGCAGAATTGTCCTGAGCTTTTAAAAATTCTTCTGAGGTCATAGGTCAATATTTTTTCATACTGATAGGCATTTCTATAGCTACACCAACAGTAATTTTAAATCTGAAAATTCTTCTGATGTGTCGTGTTTGTAAGTGAACCTCTGAAAAGTTTAAGTAGCAGGTAAGGTCTCCAACAGAACTTGAATAGTGTTGAAAGAGAATTAATACAGAATGAGCAGAGGTCAAAGACAGTGAAGTGGCAAAAGAAACTGAAAAAACAGGGATGAAATTCATGGACAAGGAGAGTTAGCAAAATATGAGAGCTGAGCAAGCACTGACAGTATCGCAGAGGGAAGGGGGAAGTTACAAGACTGTAAGACTCAGTGGCTGCTCTGGAAGCCACTTGCTACAAGTGGAAGAGACCATGGATTGGCCTAGGTGGGAACTTAAGCTCACATAGCACTTTTGAAATACCTGTGTGCAGAAGTATTCTCATTGCCTGTCATTAGATACCTGGTTTAGATGTCTAAATGAGGCAGTTAATCTCCACAGGCTGCTAATACAGACACCTGAAAGGTGTGTGCTCCTTCAGAGGGCTATTCAGGGTAGAAGCATACGTTAGGGCTTCTGCTGACCCTTGGAAAGGTGTCTGTTTCTTTTTACTGAATAAGAAGATTTGTCTATCTAAATCAGGCATGTAAGTTATAACTGAGTACAGCGCTTTGGCTTTTACGTCATTTGAGACTGAAGCCTGAATTTGGTGGTATTTCATTTAGTAATATTCTAAACCAATTTTATTACATGTTGTATATTCATTGCTCTAAGAATTCCACACATAGCTGTGCTAAACTGCAGACCTTCATCCAAGTGTATGTGGATCTGACTGTTAAAAGATGTATTTGCCGAGTCACTGCAATAAGGCATCTGGAGTTAATCAGCAAGAGGCCTTATTAAAGAGCTCTGTTTATGTTTCATATAGTCTGCTGACAACCCATCTGCTAGAACATGCATGCAATATGTTAACATTATCATTGGTAGATTCCAAATGGAAAGAGCTCAATCAAGTTACGTCTGAGAGACAACAAAAACTGGAGGAGTCTTCAAATTACCTGACCCAGTTCCAGACAGCAGAAGTTCAGCTAAAGCACTGGCTTATAGAAAAGGAGCTAATGGTCAGCGTGCTGGGACCACTATCAATTGATCCTAATATGCTGAATACACAAAAGCAACAGGTTCAGGTGAGTAGTGCCAACATGCATTATTGATTTAAGTTTCTTCTGCTTTTTTGCTATTAGCAAAGTACTATTCTGCATCTAGAGAGAGAACAGCACAGTTACTATGAACCATTACATTTGTTTATCAGCATATATCAGCTGAAGTCATACTTGACTACAGTTAATTACAAGAAAAAATTATTATGAGTGAAGAGGGATCAGAACAGCTAAAGGAAAAAAATGTTCAGGAGATACTGATCCTCTGATACATTTTTTTGTTTTGACCATACTGTGGTTTCTCTGTAGTCAAATGAAAATGTTCTTTTGAAGTTTTACTGATTTGAGTGTGTATGTAACATTTTATGGTCAGTCCTCATATAGAGTCTATGCCGTCATCATGGTTTAACCCCAGCCAGCAACTAAGCACCACGCAGCCACTCACTCACTCCTTCCA